CTCATTTTTTATGTTAAAAGCGACTGACTTTGACAATGTCAGCCTTATTGCGCCAAGAGCCTTTCGGTCAAGTAATTCCCACTAGTCGTTGGTCATGTCCTCCGGCTTTTCGTGAAGTGGTTTATACAGGTCCTTCTGGTACAAATATTCCTCCATTTGCATCTTCCAAAATCCAAAGTTTGTACCATCAAACTTATCGATTTTGGATATCTTCTCGTCTGTTGCCATTCCTCCCACTTAAATTCTGGAGCTCTGATACCAGTTGTTGGAAAATTAGACCGCTACTAATTCCGCCAGGATCAGTGGGACGCAGAATAATTTAAACTGAGAAGAAATAAATGTAGCAAAAATAATAAGTGCAAGTGACACAAGAATTTACGTGGTTCGGCAATTGTGCCTACGTCCACAAACCCACACCAATTCTTTTACTATATCAACAAGAGAATAAAAGGAGTACAACAAATACACTCTCTGTATTTTATTTGCCTACGCAAAGACAATCTCTCTATTTTTCTCTCGTTAATTTTCTGCACAAACGAAAGCCTAACTGCTTCTCACTTTGTGCTTGCTCACTATCTCTCGTGTTTTCACTCAACACTTTTGCACTTGTTTTTGCTCTCACTTTGGCACATTTCTTCCTTTGCTTTGGCCTCCAATTTATAGGAAATTTTTCACCTTCCTCATTAATGCAAATCCAACATTTTCCACAAAGTTGGTTTGCATGGCAAAGAATTTCTTCCAAAAAAATTTCGGTGGCAGCTGCATGGTTTGAAACCTTTTCCATCCACATTGCTTTGTCAACAATTGCTTACCATGCATGCAAAGTCTTCAACATTTGCTGCCAAATGTGTCTGCCACTATTTGGAAATTTTTGCCTGACACATGAGAAATTTGTGAAGCCTATAACTTAGGCTCCATATTTTCAACAACAAGGGGAAAAATAGCCCACTCATTTTCTTAGGAGAGTTTGGGAGAAAAGTTTGCCAGATTCTAGTTTAAAAATTATGTTCCTTTAAATACAAAAACATGCAACTGTAATAAGCAGCTTGCAATGACACCTAAAGTGCTCATCACTTAACAAAGAGAAAAGTTTTGCTCATCGAATACTAGAAGACGAATATAAATTCTGTGCCACGTTGAAGGAACACTATGCCGACACAATATTAAGTAATGAGTGTGATATTACTTGCCTGGTAGCTCCAAGCCCAATATTATGTGGGAATATGGTGGCATTATAGATATTATTGTTTCCATGAACAGCATCAATCCCATAAATCATCGGAATTGCTAGACGTGTAGATAACGACCCCTTCTGGAAGTCATTCACCATTTTAACCCAGTCTGCAGCGGTAGCATGTGGAAGAGGTGCACTTCCACCACCGCTTATTATGCTCCCTACATAAAAGTCCATCCGTAAGAAGCATAATCTTAATTTATCCTTATCCTTTTAATAAACACGGCTAGAAGATAACCAGATCCTGCAGTCTTGTACTTATGACAAGGCAAATAGGTTATCAGAAACTATAATTGATAAGACACAGATTATGCAAGTAAAAAAGAACATGCCTCACCCTTCAAATTAAAGACAATTGGAATCAGTGCAAACTTGTAGGTGGCAAAATAAAATCACAAATTTGGGGAGGGTGTAAAAATGCATACTGATGCTCATTCAAAGACAGCTAATACGAGATAAAGATAATAAAAGATGAATAAAAGGGATTGAAAGGCTCTATCTGGCAGTTCTTACTGAAGTTTCTTCGGCGCTTCACAGAGATAAAGCCAAGTGCAAAATAATCCAACGTTATATTACTTCGTATCGAATTCAATATTTATGTCTTGTTACATATTAGGTTCGTCAAGCTCCAAGTCAGGTTAACAAGAAAAAAAACCTTCATAATTTCTTGTAATCTTACTGTCTTAGAACTTCGGATCCCACTTTTTAAGATTAATACCAACAATATTTCCAAGGCAAAAATGATATACAACCCGAATTTGCTGCGTGCCTGCAAAAGGCAGAAACTATACTTAGTTGCGTAAATATACATTGCCCTGCAAGGACAGAATCCTCTCCTGAACTATAAATTGGTAATTTCCGGAGTTAAATCAATAATTTCTAGTTTGCTACAGTACATTCATCATTTCCTAAGGTGTCCTTTTCATCAGAGGAATTGAACTCTCGGTTGAAATTATTTATTCATAGCAGTAGTTCAAACATGCTAGAGATGTTCTACAAAAAGTTTTCATTTGGCTAAGCAATGACATGTTTATGTATCACTAACAGAAGTAACTTCACGAACCTATTCAACTGTCTGAAAATAAACTCTCTGCGATTCCCATTTCTAATCCCAGTTTGAGTCCCCGTAAAATAGACTCTTGTTTTTTCTAAGGAATATCCACCCGCGTATAGATACAAACGAAACTCACATTTTCATCCCGCCTAAATTGACAACACAGCATACAGATGGATTCATGCAAAAACACAACATAAACACAGCAGTTTCATTTACGTTAGAGAAAATTGTCCCATCAAAGCTTGAAAATGGATGAGATAAGACGATCTCAATACAACATAGTTTACTTTTTATGTCATGTGAAAAGTTGTTTAAGGTGTATAACCGAACGTTTAATGCAATCATGCATAAATACTCACCTCTTTTTACGATATACATTGAATGCCATGAAAAAACTGAAAGAGCTTTGTGAATGGATGTCTCTTTTTATGACATGCCATAAATCTAACGTAAATATTTTAAGTAATTGATAATTCACAACACACATTTAAAGGACGTCGTAAACAGTCCTTTTCTTTAAGAAAAGAAAATTTGCACTTATTTTTCTAGCATTCTATAAACGAAAATGCTTGAGAAATGCGACTTAAGTATTCTACTTTTACAGCTTGTTTCAAGATGTATGTCGTATAATTGTTCATTTACTGTATACATTTAATTTAAAGCATGTTGTAAATAATCTATTTTTACAATATACTTTATATGCACAAACTGTAAGCGAATGCTGGGAAAAGTTAATTTTGTTGTATTGTCTTAAACACCAAATTTATATTAGGACATTAATTTATATACATTACCAAGGTAGTGTTTCTTCATGATATCTGCAGTGGCAGCAACCCTATCAATCTGGGCCATCTGTCCAATTTTTTCTTCCAATGTCATCCTACTAAGTAGATCTTTCACCCTGACCCCAATTGGCTGTTTCGCATCCTTGTACACCATATACTCTTCCCCCATTGTTCTTCTGCAACCCCACCACAAAACCATGATCCCCACCCACACAATCCAAACTCTTCCAAACATCATATTATCAGTTTTCATGGGTGCTCACAAAATGAAATGCCATACAAATGAAATGCTAAAATAATGGTGTCTGGTAGACAGAGTTTCTGATACGTGGTTGGTGATTTTTTTTATGTCAGGAAATGACAGTTATTTTTGTCAGCTAAAATACCGCTGGTATTCTAAATAAACAATAAAGTGTGCACAAAAGATGATTCTTATGAGAATTGTAGGGCGTGTTCGATAGTGATTATAAGAATTGATTTTTTGACAGTTAGAAAGAAAAGTGGGTCTCACCTATGAGTGAGGAAGTCAAGAACAACTGTTGAAACAGTGAAATAATGGTAAAAAAATTGATATTTTTTGGTGAAAAATTGCTACCAAATGGGGCTCAATTAGATTTCAATAAATATTGCACATTTTTATGGATGTTGATAATTGCATAACTAACTAAAGATAAGAATTTTAACTATACATTTTAATGAAAACTACTAGAACATCGAATACCTCGTATTACTCCATTTTTATTTTAGACTCAAATAATTGATAATACTTATTTAAAGTTGACATAATTTTGTATTTAATCAAATAATTATTAAAATATCATTGCATATGAGCCTACTATGTTTCTATAGAAAATGCGAATATATGAAAACAAATTATGTCCCAAAAATATTTAGGATAAGATTATGCAAAGTATAATGATATATCTTTATTTATTATTGGACTTTATAATTATTGTTACTATATATGTGCCAAATTTTTTATTCGTTTTCTCAAGTAGAATGATAATCATGAATCTATCAATTATTTAACAACTAAAAGAATTAATAACCTAATAACCATTCAAATCAAACAAATATTTGACTACAAAATCTTGAAATTAACATTAAACTTAAAAATATAAGGTCGTCATTTTCCTAACTTCGAGACAATTAATCGAGCATTATTAAAATACATAAATACGATGTGGAATAATAATACATCACTCGAAGTTCAATTGTAGAAATAAAGCGAAAAACAACCTTTGAAATTTTTAGATCTCTTACATAATTCATAAACGATCTTCTTGTATTCTTTCTTCTTCTTTCAAAATCCAAGTAAACGTATAAAAATTGTAATTGATTGTATGTTTGTCAATTAAAGCCTCTTAGAAAGAGAGCAACGCAAAGATGGCATCTCCCGTCAGAGCCAAATTAACCTTTCCAACACCCAACCCTAACCCCACCGGCCTCATGCCACCAAATAGCATTCAACCTCCATCACATAGGGCGGTGGCAACCGGAAACCCTAGCGTCGTTGATCGGACCCATGGAAGACATGATGGCATACTCACCGGCAATGGATTGGTGGATCCAGGCGACGCTATTCACAAAAGCAGTGGACGACACACGGATCTAGGGAAGGAGAAGACGGATTTCAGTTACAGGGCATCCAACTTTGCTCTAGCCTTATCCCGACCCCACATGCCTACTCGACAGGCACTGCAGGCCGATCCGACGTCGGCAGGACAAGCGCATGGAGAACGCGCCTCCCGGACCACGTGCTGCCACTGAAATCTTTATGCCAGGTCCCTTGCGATGCTCCGAGGCCATTTCGAGCATTGGTTCCGTCATCAGCTAGCCCGTTTGTGCAAAATCATGGAATGCAGTCTTATGGAGCTATGATATGTTGTTAAGTTCACATTTTAGAATTGAGGCGAAGGATTTTGTAGTGTCTGTTAACACTTCTGGCATTGTTAAGCTATCGGAATGGGGATTGAAGATATCGGATGCAATTTGCATGGGCCGATTTGGTGCCGTTTGGATGGTGAACATGGTGAATAAGTTGATGTAGGCCAATAAGATGGAGGAGTTTGTTGCCAAGTTTAATAAGTCTTCTCGAGCTTTCTTGGCACAACGATGTGCAAACAGAAGTGGTAAGTTTCTGATGATAGCACAATATGGAGATTGACGGAGAAAAGGAATTGTGATGGTGCCAAAAGGTACGAATGGAGAGGGATGGGCATCGGTTTCATGAGTGTTCCAAGTAGTTATTGATTCCTTTGTTGCCAAAGATAAGGTCAAGCGTCGAACAGAGGAAGAAAGGAACCAAAAAAGGATGACTTATGCCTGAGTCACAACAAACATTTGGGCATCGCAAAATGCCAATCAGTGAGCATTGGTACATAAGGGAAGTGATGATAATCAGAGAAGTTATCCTAATGCCGAATTAATAGCTCACATCCAGGCTGAAAGTGGAATTGGATGAATTGATCAATGCTGTGGGAGGTGAGTCCGTAGTGGGATCCAAAAAGATTTATTGCCATGAGTGTGGAATGAAATTGGATAAGTCTTTTGCCTATGGAAATCATGTAGCTAATTTGTACTCAAAGGAGTTATCGTCGACACGGGCATAAACTAAAGATAAGTAGGTGATGGTTAAGCCCAGTGGCGAGTCTCAGTAGCGGACCAAAGTGGTGACTTCCTCTGGTGACGGAGATTGGGAAGACATGGAAGGAACAGATAGGGACCCAATGGTCGAGACATATCGAGAGACGAAACCTTGGGCTAAAAAAGGGAAGTCGGTTGTGGATTCAGAGACATTGGAAGCGATGAGGTCGTTGTCGTATCGTGAGCAAAATATCAAAACTGTATTGGCAAAAAATTTAGCTTCAGCAATTGAGGATCAGCAAGGGAGGACCAGCTTAGCAGTAGTGAATACCTACTGTAGGAGACATCTTAAGTCGTCGAAAGAAGGGGATCTTGAGAATGATAATGCTTTGGTAGTGTGGGTAGGTGGAGCCAAGAAGGGGGTAACAGACATGGAGGTATATGGGGAGGATGAGGTTGGACACTACTACGATCCTATTTTTGCTGGAGATGTATCGAAAGTTAGCGCACTTGACGCCAGACCTCTGTCGTCAAATTGGGTTCTAAAGAAAATTCTGGATTTTAGCAAGATGGTAGGTGTGTCCTGTGATGGATATGAAAATAAGCTCATGCAATTATTTGAGGAGTTGGAGGCTAATAGGAGACAAGAGATGGGTACATCAGGAGGTAAGATAAGAAGAAAGGGTGATCGCGAGCTTAAACGACTCGAATGTTCGATTAATTACGACGTCAAGGGTTGTGAATTAAGGAGAGGTTTGATGGGGAGTGATGATAGAGTGTTAAGATGACTCCGAAAATTATTAGTTGGACCGTAAGGGGGCTTAATGAAGCTTGAAAAAGGCTAGGGGTTTGGAATCTATTAAGGGGATGGAGGGCTGATCTTGTATGTTTACAAGAAACAAAGTTGGAAATCATTTCGAGAGAGGTTGTGAATAGCATATGGGGGACAGCATGTGGGGTATCAGTTTGTAGGTTCATCGAGGGCTTCAGGAGGAATGTTAGTAATGTGGGACACCAGAGTGCTTAAGATAGAGGAGGTTAGTGGAGGGCTATTTTCTTTATCGCTTTCATTCAGAAATATCGGGGATAATTTTCATTGGATGTTTATAGGAGTCTACGGGCCTAATGTTGAAGAGCATAGAGGTGAATTGTGGGATGAATTAATGGGGATGATGACCTGGTGGAATATTCCTATGTGTATTGGGAAAGATTTTAATATAGTTAGGCTTCCTACTGAAAGGTCGAATGGGGAGAGATTAACAGGGGCTGTGGAGGACTTTTCAGACTTTATCAGGGAGAACATGTTGGTGGACCTGCCTTTGAGTGGAGGAGACTTTACTTGGTCTTCGAATCGGGAACAACCTGTCCTATCCCGAATAGATCGATTTCTGGTATGGGGGATGGGAGGCTAAGTACCCAGAAGTCACTCAGAGAAGATTGGGGAAATTGTATTCAGATCATTTACCTATTGCATTGTTTGGGAATGTGAGGCTTGGGGGAAGAAAGCCGTTTATGTTTGAGAAAATGTGGCTAAAAGTAGAAGGTTTTGGGGAACAAGTATGGATTGGCGGGCATCATATGACTTCAGGGGATCTCCCAGTTATGTGTTGGATCGAAAATTGAAGGCCTTGAAAAGAGATCTAAAAAAGTGGAATGAGGAGGTGGTGGGAGACTTTAGCTATTGCAAAAATCTATACCTATCAGACATAGAAGGTTGGATAGGAGGGAGAAGAGTCGATGATTGATAGGGGTTGAGAGGATGAGATGAGGAGAATTAAAGGAAAAATTGGAGAGGTTGGTAGAGATGGAGGAGACTGCTTGGCGTCAGAAATTGAGGATTAGGTGGTTGAAAGAGGGAGACAAATGCACCTAATTTTCCCTGGGGTTGCTAATTCCAACAGGCGCAACAACTCTATCACTACGTTGGAGGTAGATGGGGTTACTTATGAAGATCCACAGGATATCGGGACCCAGATGGTAAGATTTTATCAGAATCTCTATCGGGAGCAGTTTGATTGGAAACCAGAGTTGGAGGGGCTACATTTTTCTACTATTACTGAGAAGGATGCCAATTGGTTAGATAGAGCATTTGGGGATGATGAAATTAAGGAGGTGGTGTTCAGCATAAATGACGATAAGACCTCAGGACCGGATGGATCCTCTTTTTCCTTCTATAAGGCCTTGGGAAGTGGTGCGATCAAGCATTGTGGAGGTTCTTACTTATTTTTTGCAGTGCGGAAGGTTCTTGAGAAGCGCCAATGCCACCTTTATTGTGCTGATTCCTAAGAAATCGAGAGCAACAGATATTAAGGACTTTTATCCTATTAGCTTAGTGAGTGGGGTGTATAAGATTATTGCAAAGATTTTGGTAAATCGATTAAAAGAGGTACTGGGGAAATGCCTTTATCAAAGGGTGCCGGATTTTAGATTCTGTACTTATAGCAAATGAATGTATTGACTCAAGATTACGCCTGCGAGTCTCGGGAATGCTATGTAAGCTTGACATTCAGAAAGCTTATTGATGCGAACCCCGTAGCAATGGAAACTACGAAACCCACAACGAGATTGATGCGGAACCCAAGAACGCCAATACTAACCAATTTTGGATTTTGAACCCCAAGAATTGAAACAAGAAACCCTAGATTAGCGAAAAACCTAAAACCCCTTGATTACAATTAAAAGAACCCACAATCCGATTGATTAGACCGCCACAAGAAGTTGAATCTTGATAAGTTTCAAGATTGTTCAAGAAGAACAATAAATTGAAAGAATAAATTTCTCTCTCTATAATATTAATTGAAGCAAAAGTCAAAAGTTGTTACAATGAAAAGTAATCTCCTATTTATACTAATGAATAAAAACGTCCAAAACCATCAAATTATGGTAACAATTTGATTTCATAAGAATTCTAACGAAACTAGGAAATTCGGCCAAAATTAGAAAATTCGCCAATTTTTTTGGCTTGTGCGGCCGCATGGTGTAAATCCATGCGGTCGCATGGTTCAACAGGAATTGGACTTTTGGTTTTCGATATGTATGTGTGCGGCCGCATGTGGTTTTGCCTGTGCGGCCGCATAGACTTGTCTTCTGCCTCCGCTTTCGTCGCTTGATAACAAATTGATCCAAGTTGATTCGACCTTTGACCCGAACATGAAAGTTGCTCCATTTTGAGTCCCGAACATGGTTCCATCAATGGTTTCTTGAACGAGCAATCTCATCGCTTTTTTCACTTGCTTTGCCCTTGATCGCGTCATTGGTCCGCCATCGACTATCAACGGGTCTCGTCTTGCACTTGCCTTCGTCGAGCTCGACTCCTGGATCATATCACTTATGACCACGTAAATTGGAAATTTCTCTTGTATATGCTTAGGCGATGTGGCTTCGGGAATAAGTGGTGTCATTGGATTCAGTTTTGTATAGCTATAGTTTCTTTTTCAGTTATGGTGAACGGCACTCCGGAGGGTTATTTTCATAATAGCAGGGGATTGAGGCAAGGGGATCCTTTGTCTCCATTACTATTTGTCACTGTAATGGAAGCTTTCAGTAGGATGCTTGAGAAGGCTGTGGGAGAAGGTTTGTTAAGGGGCTTTATGGTTGATCAGCTGCAAGTATCTCATTTGCTATTTGCAAACGATACATTGATCTTCTGTGATGCAGATGTTCAGCAATTCAGGAACCTACGTCGTGTGCTCTTGTGCTTTGAAGCCGCATCTGGATTGAAAATAAATTTGAAAAAATCTGAGGCCATCACAGTGGGAGAGGTCGATAATGTGGAGGAGTTGACTGCTATATTGGGTTGTAGGGTTACAGAACTGCTATGACTTATCTTGGTCTTCCTTTCAGAGCAAGGTTTAAGAGTAAACATATTTGGAACACTATTATAGAAAAGATGGAGAGAAGACTAGCGGGTTGGAAGCGTATGTATCTCTCAAAGGGCGGTTATCTTACTCTCATAAAGTCCACATTTTCGAATCTCCCTACTTATTTCTTATCATTATTTCCTATCCCTGTTGCAGTGGCAAAAAGGTTAGAGATGATCCAAAGGGAGTTTCTTTGGGGAGGATTAGGGAAGGAGAGGAAATTACATTTGGTTAATTGGGTTGTAGTTTGTTCTCCCTTAAAGTTAGGGGGTCTTGGATTGAGGAACATTGTACTGTTCAATAAGGCCTTATTGGACAAGTGGTTGTGGCGATTCGGTGTAGAAAGGGAGAGTTTTTGGATAGAAATAATAGGGACAAAATATGGTGTCATGGAAAGAGGATGGTGCTCAGTCGAGAATCGCGATTCTTATAGGGTGAGCTTATGGTGATATATTCAGCGAGGGTGGAGCGATTTTTAGGATAGATTGACTTTTGCAGTGGGGGATGGTACTACCATCAGTTTTTGGGATGATTGTTGGTTGGAGAACAACCGCTGAAGGTGAAATTTCCCTCTTTATCTCGTATTGTGTTAGCACCGTCTGCTACGGTGAGTGATGTCTTAGATATACATAATGGGAGGGATCAGTTGGAATATTGTTTTTGGCTGGGGATTACAAGATTGGGAATTGGACGATTATGCGCTGTTTTTGACTTCTTTGTACGAGGTCCACATCAGGACAGGAGAGGCAGACTGTAATAGGTGGAGATTGACATGGGATGGGATTTTCTCAGTTAGCACTTGTTTTAGATCTTTATTGGGTCCTGTGCAAAGTTCACTCCCTTGGAAATTGGTGTGGAAATGTAAACTGCCTCCACGGGTTGTATTCTTACTTTGGACGGTGGTCAGGGGACAGGTGTTAACAATGGATAATCTACGAACAAGAGGTTTTCATGTTACAGAGTCGTGTTATATGTGTCGAAGGGACGAGGAGACGATTGATCACTTGTTTCTCCATTGTGATGCTGCTCGTTTACTGTGGCATAATATTTTGGCATCACAACACATGGATTAGGTGATGCCGATGCGTATGGAAGACGTGTTAAAGGCATGGAGGAGAAAATTTCGCGGCAAGGATTGCAAGCTTGTATGGGACCTTATTCCGGGTTATATTATATGGTATATGTAGAGAAAAAGAAACAGCCGCTACTTTGATGATCAAATACGGATAGCATAGCAAATTAGAGAAATGTTTTATTTCACATTGTATACGTGGTTTAATGCTGTAGCTACTATGCATATAGATGGGCTGTCCAATTTTATGTTGTTCCTTTCTGCTTTAAATTGATAATACACTTCACGTATATTATGCATTGATTAATAAAATATTTGATTACCTTTCAAAAAAAAAAAAAAAGCTTCTTCCCTTTTTGAATACAGTAGAAATCTCCTTTTTATAGTGCTAAGATTAGGTTAAAATTCATGTCTCGTCTTCATTCCACATAGAAGTCTAATTAGATATGAGAGAAAATCAGAGTTTGTCACATCTAACCATGCCATCGAAAGTTTTGATCTTTTCCTTCCAATTCAAGTTAGTCCAAGAATGTCTTCTTTGGTTCAACTCAAGTCCTTTTTTTTTTTTTATTTGCATCATGTCTTTAATCTTTAGACTAGCCCCCAAACTTTCTAAAAGTTGAATTTCACACGAAAACTTAACGATTTTCTTCAAATTGCTCTCTTACTACTTCTTATCATTCCTGTACAATACGCTTATTTTTTAGTTGCTCCAAATCAACTCCAAAATAATTAATTGCTCCGTTTTTGCGTCAATTGCATCCAAGTCCAAAATTTACCCATAATGAACAAAATTACATTAAATTAGGTAGAAATAAGCTCAATTGACAGTAATTTATCGAGTCTAAGAGCACGAAGAAGTGTGTAAAAACACACTTATCAATGCCCTTTACATCTTGAATTTTTTTTTTTTTACGTATATCCCATATTTATTTATCTAGGATTTAATTGCCGATTCTTTTGAACATATGATAAAAGTTACAAAAAGAAAAATTTTCAAGTTGAAAAGATGAAGGAATAAAGTGTTGCTAAAGAATAACCCCTTTAATATAAGAAATATTCATTCTTCTTTCTATATACTATTTTTTTTCCTCTAGTCATTTAATTAATTTAGTTCTTCTTTTACATATTAATTATGCGTTAGGTCTAGTACAATAAGCATTATAATGTTACTCAACACGAAGTTCATAATAAATTGTAAAAAGGTGATTGTGTTGGTCAAGTCGAACCTTTTCTCACTCTAATCTATATGCACATAATTTAATTATTGTAAATCGAAAATAATTAGAGAATGCTATGATAAATTTCTAATGTTGAGTTCCTATAATAAGCCCTGTATAACTATTTTTCACGACTTACCAAAAATATATAAAATTCCTGAAAACTCCTAAAATAAGTTGAAATTATTACAATGTAATTAACCATCATTAGTTCATAAAATTCACGGTTGAATCTTTAAAATTTGAAACTTTAAATAAAATAAAAATTTATAAGTTGTGAAAGCAAAGTACTTGTAAAACAACTTTTGGATGGTCAAAGAAAACAATTGATTCTTCGTTTACTACTTAAATTTGTCTTCTTCTTTTTTACTATTTATTTTTAATGTCCTAGCAATTATCATTAATAGTGGCAAGAATCCAAATCAATTGATAAGCTTTAATTAAGTAAATACAATCAAAGCAAGTAATTCATCAACCTTATTACATTCATCAAAATTAGGCACAAAATTTTGAGACATGGCGTACACTTTTAGCCGTTTTCTTGGACTGTCTTTTCATTAAGAGCTTGTTTGGGAGTGATTTTTTCTCAAAAAAAAAGCTGATTTTTTAACCGTTATTTCATTATTCCAACAGTCATATTTGACTTTTTTTCTCACAGATGGACTCCACTTTTCTCCTAAAAGTCAAAAAATTAATTCTCAAAATCACTCCCAAACAAGCTCTAAAAGTTCTGCACTTAGACACATCAAGCAACAGTAGTAAATGGGACGATTCTGATCTCTAACTTGGAAGTCCTAAATAGGACCAAGATTCCATGAGGAAAGATTATAAAATGAAATTCTTCCTTGTCACCTAAGAAAAAGAAAATAACATGGACGAACTTTCAATCTATGTTCATGGTCAAGCAGTCAACCTTGGCATCCATAATCCATTGGAAAAGCTTGTAGGCCAAACAAAGAACTTTCTGACTTTAGTTTCTCTTCTCAGAAAGATATACCTAACATTAACATGCACCTTGGATAAATCAAACCCTATAAAAACACACTATGGAAGCAATAAAATTAGAATTATCTCACCCTTAAGAAAAGAAAGCAAAAGAATTGTTTAAATTTCAAGTTTTTGCACACTCACAACATAAGGCAAGGCAATCAACATATTTCACATTTGAGCTATCAAAGTTTGATAGTAGAGGAAACTAAAACAACAAATTAAACGTGAGAAGAGAGTGCTGGTGATAGTAGGAATGGCAACGCCGAGGCCAAGACGTGGTGGCGCAGCCGGTCCGACTAGACCGAGAACGTTTGGCGTCCGGCCAGTTTACGAAGATTTTAAACCTGTTTCAGAATGGTCACAAGATAATGATACTTATATTCTCACCATTCAAGTTCCAGGTAAGTCCTTGTTTACTTGTATCCATCTTTTCGGGCAACAAAATGCCTTAAGCAAAGATTAAAGGAGTGGTCAGCCTGGCCAGAACCATTGACACCAGGGCTAGCGCCGAGCCACTAACATCTTCCTAGGTCAGGCCAGATTACACCTCTACCTTGTTTCCCCTGCAGGTTTCATGAAGGATCAACTCAAAGTTTCCACCGTAGACCAGAACTTCATCAGAGTACGTGGAGAACGCCTGGTTGCCGGCAACAAATGGAGCCGTTTCCAGGAAGACTTCCAGGTCCCGGATAACAGCGAACTAACATCAGTTCGAACCAAGCATGGAGAAGGAACTCTAATTGTTACTGTCCCAAGAAAGAATGTTGCCGGTAAAACACTTGCAACCAAAAAGGACGAAAACAAAACCAGTCAAGCATCCCTCAGCCCTCCCCCAAAAGCTCACGATCAAGTCCTTCCTCCTGAAACTACAGGCATGGAATCTCCCGGCGAACCCAATCCTGATCAGCAGAGCCAGGTTAAAGTTACTCCCACGGCTAGTACTAGCAAGCCGATAACAGATGACAAAAGTTTAAAACCAGCTCCCGGGGTTCGGAAAACATCAGGTGATCATCTGATTACGAAAATAGGAAGACAAGAAGATGAACAAAAGAATCATGTAGAGAAGGAGAAAAGCCCAGAAATGACAGAGAAACCTGCTGCACATGAAAGTATTGTGGATAAGGCTGGGAAGAAGATTGTTGATGACAAAAGTTTGGAACTACTAAGAATTAAGAGAACGTCAGGTGATCATCTGAGTACTAGAACTGGACAGCAAGAAGACGAACAGAAAAGATATATTGAGAAAAAGGGAATCCAAGAAACCAAAGAGAAACATTTTACACCAGAAAATGCATCATCGAAGGATAACATTGGAAAAGGTAAAGAAATAAGTCCTGAAGATAATAAGATCATATCCGAGAAACAATCAAGTGCAGTTCATGATTCTCCTGATCATGATCTTGATGCTGTGAAATTGGAACTGAAGAAGCAGAAGAAGAAATCAGTTAAAGGACTTGGTGAGCTGAATGGAGAGAGGCAATTGCTGGTGAATATGGGGGCAGCACTGCTTGTCATTGTTGGACTAAGTGCTTATGTCTCCTACAAATTTGCATCTCAGAATGATAAACATTAGCTAGATATATACTAAATGATGTATATCAGTATATGTATATATGCAGATAGGCCTGTATGGCTGTATATGCAGTTCCCAGTTGAATAAACGAATTAATTGTGTGAAATGAAAAGCAACAAGTTCTCTAAATCTATTAATTCATTAGAGGATAAAGATTCTGTGACTTCCAACATTTAAATTAAATTTATTATCGACCAATGAAATAATATGGCACATCACCATTGCTTCTTATAAGATGAGCACCGATGCTTATTAGATCATCTCTCTCTCTCTTATATATATGTGTGTGTGTGTGTGTGTGTGTGTGTGTCATCAAGAGCATATTTGGCAAAGCTTAAATTGTAATTTTAGTTTTCTTTACTCTTGTTCGAATAGTGGGTTTGAAACCAAACCTATCTATAGAAAGATATAACCCCACAACTTAGTATCCATACATTCAGTAGGAGTCACAACTTATAAGTGCTTAAAAGCACTAACAAACTAAACAAGTATTAAAATGTAACTTGTAAGCACTTAAAAAAAGAAAAGTAGAACAAGAAACCATTTAAGGCCCCGTTTAACTCTCATTTTCATCAAAATACCTTTTTTTCTCTTTTCTTTTTAACTACACATTCTTCATTAAAATAATATTACACGTTTCGGATTTTTTGATACCCAATAAATTTGGCGGTGATTTAAAATAGCTGTCGAATTATTTATCGACATCATGGACTTGGCTCGACTCGGAAATAACCTATACTTGTGGATGGTCCAAGTAGTAGTTGGGTTATTAAATTGTGGGTTTTAGATTAATTGGTAGCCCATTAGTTTAGGTTTTAAGAAGTACATCTGCACAAGTTTTTAGCCGAAGGTGTGTCTAACATATCCTATATATACCCATCTTCTTGCAGCCGTTTTCATGGTGGTGTGTGGGTGTCTGTTGAGAGAGGGAAAGAGGGCCGAGAGAGGTGAGGGGGCAGCCAGTCTTCTTCTCTCTATCACCACCACCACCCCTTCTCCTTTGTGGAGTTTGAGAGAGTTTGGACAGTCCAAAGTGAAAGGGGAGTTCTTGGGTCGAGCCAAGGTAAATCGGTGTTCATTTGATTATTTTCTCAGCCCGAAATCAAAACTTATCGAGGGATTTTCACTACAACACGTAAATTAAAAATTTTTCCTTATTTTCCATCCACACATTATACATCAATCTACTATTCTAAAATTCATTTATTCATAAAAATGGGTGCCAAACATCTTCTAAAATGTTAAACAATTTTGGTGATTTTTTTATGTCGGGAAATGACAGTTATTCTTGTCAGCAAAAATACCTATATTGTAAACAAACAATAAAGTGCATAAAAGACGATTCTTATGAGAATTGTATATTCAATTAGATTTCAATAAATATTACACAAATTTATGGATGTTGATAAATTGCATGACTAACTAAATATAAAAATTTTAAGAGTCATGCTTGAGGTACAAGGGCTCTGTGATACAAAACCCTTACAGGCATTCACAACATGGGTGGGTTGGGGAGGAGTTTGGGCATTTTTTTATATAGGCGGGGTTATGTGAAAACAGAACTCCTGTATGTTCAGTAAAATCCAAATTTTAACTAGGGCTGAACATGATTCGGTTCGGTTCGGTTTTAACGAGAACTGAATCGATTCGAAATTTTCGAGTATTTAGTAAGTGGAACCGTCGGGTCCAAATTTAATTATAGAACCGTTCGGGTTCGATTCCATTCGGTTCCGTATTATAATTAATTTTTTTAATATATACAAAATTACGTTAATTTAATTAATGATATATTCAATATTAGCTCTTACAAAATAACATAGTTCAATTTTATGTGTTTCATGTCTCTCTTTACTGAATTCTTCATAAATTTGATTATTAAAATCACAGAAAGAGAAAGATAGCGAGCTGAAAATAATTAAGAGAGATGTTGTAGAGTTTTAATTCGATTTTCTCTGGTAGAAACGACACCACAGTAGAATAACAGATTTGGATAAAATTGAGGTCAATTTGATTAAGTTGATTTTGAACTGAAAATTAGAAATAGAAAAATCATATTCTGTAGTTTGAATTAAATTAACTAGTTAACAAATTTATTTAGAAAAAATAAAATAATTTTACTTATTTAAAATAAATTAATTAAAAAAATTATATAGATTCGGTTCTTATTCGGTTCTTCGGGTCTTGGCCTAGAACCGAGAATCGAACCATACCCGTCGGTTCTTGATTCAAATACCCGTTTGAGTATTTAACTTGAGAAGAACTATCGGGTTCGGTTCGATCGGTTCAGTACGGGAGTTTTGTCCAGCCCTAATTTTAACTATACCTTTTAATGAAAACTACTAGAACATCGAATCCCTTGTATTACTCCATTTTAATTTCAAACTCAAATAATTGATAATACTTATTTAAAGTTGCATAATTCTGTATTTAATCGAATAATTATTAAAATATCATTACATATAAGCCTACCATATTTCTATAGAAAATGTGAATATATGAAAACAAATTATGTCCCAAAAAACATTTAGGATAAGATTAAGCAAAGTATAATGATATATCTTTATTTATTATTGGACTTTATAATTATTGTTACTATATATATGCCAAATTTTTTATTCGTTTTCTCAAGTAGAATGAAAATCATGAATCTATTAATTATTTAAGAACGAAAAGTATTAATAACCTAATAACCATTCAAATCAAACAAATATTTGACTACAAAATCTTGAAATTAACATTAAACTTAAAAATATAAGGTCGTCATTTTCCTAACTTCTAGACAATTAATCGAGCATTATTAAAATACATAAATACGATGTGGAATAATAATACATCACTCGAAGGTCAATTGTAGAAATAAAGCCAAAAACAACTTCAGAAATTTTTAAATCTCTTACATAATTGTTAAATGATCTTCTTGTATTCTTTCTTCTTCTTTCAAAATCCAAGTAAACGTATAAAATTTGTTATTGATTGTATGTTTGTGAATTAAAGCTTCTTCCGTTTTTGAATACCATAGAAATCTCTTTTTTATAGTGTTAAGATTAGGTTAAAATCCGTGTCTCGTCTTCATTTCACGTAGAAGTCTAATTAGACGATGAGAGAAAATCAAAGTTCGTCACATCTAACCATGACATCGCAAGTTTTGATCTTTTCCTTCCAATTCAAGTTAGTCCAAGAATGTCTTCTTTGGTTCAACTCAAGTCCTTCTTTTATTTGCATCATGTCTTTAATCTTTAGACCAGCCCCCAAACTTTCTAGAAGTTGAATTTCACCCAGAAGCTTACAATTTTCTTCAAATTGCTCTCTTAATTCTTCTTATCATCCCCATACAAAACGCTTATTTTTTAATTGCTCTAAATTAACTCCAATTCAAAATTGCCCCCTTTTGCATCAATTGCATCCAAGTCCAATTTTTGTCTATAATGAACAAAATTACACTAAATTATGTAGAAATAAGCTTAATTGACAGTAATTGATCGAGTCTAAGAGTACGGCTAAGTGTGTAAAAACACACTTATTAATGCCCTTTACATCTTTAAAAAGATTTTACATATATCCCATATTTATTTATCAAGGATTTAATTGTCGATTCTTTTGAACATATGATAAAAGTAACAAAAAGAAAAAATTTCAAGCCGAAAAGATGAAGGAATAAAGTGTTGCCAAAGAATAACCCCTTTATAATAAGAAATATTCATTCTTCTTTCTATTTACTATTTTTCCCCCAATTGTCATTTAATTTAGTTCTTTTACATGTTAATTATGAGTTAGGTCTAGTACAATAAGCATTATAATGTTACTTGTGTCTCAACGTGAAGTTCATAATAAATTGTAAAAAGGTAGATTGTGTTGGTCAAGTCAAACCTTTTTTCACTCTAATCTATTTGCAAATAATTTAATTCTTGTAAATCAAAAATTACTAGAGAATGCTATGATAAATTTCTAATGTTGAATTCCTATAATAAGCCTAGTATGATTATTTTTCATGAGTAATCATAAAATACTGAAAACTCCTACTAAAATAAGTTGAAATTATTATAATGTAATTAACCGTCATTAGTTCGTAAAAATCACGGGTTGAATCTTTAATATTTATTTGTTTAATTTATTATTGTATTATCTCTCTTTACATATAATGTAACATCATAGGGAAAAGGTGCCACAGGGGACCAAAATTTGAAACTTTAAATAAAATATAAATTTATAGGTTTTAAAAGCAAAGTAATCGTAAACCAACTTTTGGATGGTCAAAGAAAACGACTGATTCTTCGTTTGCTACTTAAGAGTTTGTTTAATCCACATTATAATGAGAATGAGAATGAGAAATAGAGCCATTACGAACCCCACACCAAAGATAAAAATTCAAAAATGGTGATTTGATGTGATGGATAACGGTCATATTTTTCATTTTAATGAGATAAAAATGTAGCTCAAACAGGGACTAAATTTGTCTTCTTTTTTTAACCATTTATTTTTAATGTCCCAGCAATTATCATTAATTGTGGCAAGAATCCAAATCAATTGATAAGCTTTAATTAGTAAATATAATCAAAACAAGTAATTCATCAACCTTGTCACACTCATCAAAATTAGGCTCAAAATTTTGGGACATGGCGTACCCATTTAGCCGTTTTCTTGGACTCTCTTTTCATTAAAGTATTTGTACTTAGACACGTCAAGCAACCTTATAAATGGGACAATATAATTGATCAAGTCTAAGAGCACGGGTAAGTGTGTAAAAACACACTTATTAATGCCCTTTACATCTTGAAAAAGATTTTACATATATCCCATATTTATTTATTTGAACATATGATAAATTTATAAGTTTTAAAAGCAAAGTAATCGTAAACCAACTTTTGGATGGTCAAAGAAAACGACTGATTCTTCGTTTACCACTTCAATTTGTCGTCTTCTTTTTTTACAATTTATTTTTAATGTCCCAGCAATTATCATTAATTGTGGCAAGAATCCAAATCAATTGATAAGCTTTAATTAGTAAATATAATCAAAACAAGTAATTCATCAACCTTGTCACACTCATCAAAATTAGGCACAAAATTTTGAGACATGGCGCACCCATTTAGCCGTTTTCTTGGACTCTCTTTTCATTAAAGTATTTGTACTTAGACACGTCAAGCAACCTTATAAATGGGACAATGCTGATGAGAGTCAATTACTGGAACGGATTCCTAAGGAATGTCTAACTTGAAGTCCTAACAAAGACCAAGATTCCATGAGGAAAGATTATAAAATGAAATTCTGCCTTGTCACCTAAGAAAATGAAAATAACATGGAAGAATTGTCAATCCATGTTGATGGTCAAGCAAAGCTTGTAGGCCAAACAAAGAACTTTCTGACTTTCCTTTATCTTCACACAAAGACCAAGATTCCATGAGGAAAGATTATAAAATGAAATTCTGCCTTGTCACCTAAGAAAATGAAAATAACATGGAAGAATTGTCAATCCATGTTGATGGTCAAGCAAAGCTTGTAGGCCAAACAAAGAACTTTCTGACTTTCCTTTATCTTCACACAAAGATAGACCTATAAATCAAACACTATGGAAGCAATAAAATTAGAATTATCTCACCCTTAAGAAAAGAAAGCAAAGGAATTGTTTAAATTCCAAGTTTTTGCACACTTTCACAACATAAGGCAAGGCAATCAACATATTTCACGTTTGAGATATCAAAGTTTGATAGTAGAGAAAACTAAAACAACAAATTAAACTTGAGAAGAGAGAGCTTGTGATAGTAGGAATGGCAACGCCAAGGAAAAGACGTGGTGGTGCAGCCGCTCCGAGTAGACCGAGCATGGTTGGTGTCCAGCCAGTTTATGAAGATCTTAAACCTGCTTCGGAATGGTCACAAGATGAAGATACTAGTACTCTCACCATTCAAGTTCCAGGTAAGTCCTTGATCACTTATATCAATCTTTTTGGGCGACAAAATGCCTTGAGCAAAGACTGAAGCAGTGGTCAGCCTAACCAGAACCATAAGAAAATGCAACGCTTGACGCCAGGGCTAGTGCCGAGCCATGAACATCTTCCTAGGTCAGGCCAGATTACCCCTCTACCTCTTTTTCCCTGCAGGTTTCATGAAGGATCAACTCAAAGTTTCAACTGTAGACCAGAATTTCATCAGGGTTCGTGGAGAATGCCTGGTTGCCGGCAACAGATGGGGCCGTTTCCAGGAGGACTTCCAGGTCCCAGATAACAGCGAACTAACATCAGTTCGCACCAAGCATGGAGGAGAAACTCTAATTGTTACTGTCCCAAGAAAGAATGTTGCTGGTAAAACACTTGCAACCAAAAAGGAAGAAAACAAAACCAATCAAGCGTCCCTCAGCCCTCCCCTAAAAGCTCAAGATCAAGTCCTTCCTCCTGAAACTACAGGCATGGAATCTCCCGGCGAACCCAATCCTGATCAACAGGGCCAGGATAGAGTTACTCCCATGATTAGTACTAGCAAGCCGATAACAGATGACAAAAGTTTAGAACCAGCCCCCAAGGTTCGGAAAACATCAGGTGATCATCCGATTACGAAAATAGGACAGGAAGATGAACAAAAGAATCATGTAGAGAAGGAGAAAAGCCAAGAAATGACAGAGAAACCCCCTGCACATGAAAATATTGTGGATAAGGCTGGGAAGAAGATTGTTCATGACAAAGGTTTGGAACTACTAAGAATTAAGAGAACGTCAGGTGATCATCTGAGTAGTAGAACTGGACGACAAGAAGAAGAACAGAAGAGTTATATTGAGAAAAAGGGAAAAGAGAAATATTTTACACCAGAAAATGCATCATTGAAGGATAACATTGGAAAAGGTAAAGAAATAAGTCCTGAAGTTCATGAAGATAATAAGATAATATCCGAGAAACAATCAAGTGCAGTTCATGATTCTCCTGATCATGATCTTGGTGCTGTGAAATTTGAACTCAAGAAGCAGAAGAAGAAAGCAGTCAAAAAGAAAAAAAGGAATTGGTGAGCTGAATATGAGGGAGCATTGCTTGTTATTTTGGACTAAGTGCTTATGTCTCCGACAAATTTGCATCCCAGAATGATAAAGATTAGCTAGATATATACTATATGATGTATATATACATACGCAGATAGGCCTATATATGCAGTTCCAAGTTGAATAAACAAATTAATTGTGTGAAATGAAAAGCAACAAGTTATCTCTCTCTCTATTAATTCATGGAGGATAAAGATTCTGTGAGTTCCAACATTTAAATTAAATTTATTATTCGCCAATGAATTAGTATGGTACATCACCAGAGCTTATTATAAGATGAGAGCCGGTGCTCATTAGATCATCTCTCTCTCTCTCTCTCTCTATATACACACACACACACACACACACACACACGCTCACACACACATACATCATCATCATCAAGAGCACATTTGGCAAAGCTTAAATTATAATTTTACTTTTCATCTAAGGTTTTTGGGAAATTTCTACACAAAATCTTTCAATTTATTATTTTACTCTTGTTCGAACAGGGGTTTGAAACCAAACCTATCCTTAGAAAGATATAACCCCACAACTTGGTATCCATACATTCAGTAGGAGTCACGACTTATAAGCTTTTAAGAGCACTAACAAACAAATATTAAGATGTAACTTACTCAAAAAAAGAAAAGTAAAACAAGAAACCAATTTTGTCTAAACTAAAAACAATGCTCCCATCAAAACCATGTGCAATTTTTTCAAAAATTGGCAAAGTTTAGGTTGAGAGCAATTTGTCTCAAGGAATCGAACTTAACAAATACATTAGGACTAATTAATTATGCAACTGCAGATAAGCTTATAGAATTTGATGAGTTACACAACACTTTCATCATTGATGGTGACGTCTCAAGATTTTGTACCTGCAAAAACCTACATGACCTCTGAAGCCCTCCTATTTCTTCTTGAACTTGTTCCTCCATTGTCCTCTGCAGCAGAATTGTCCATTGCTGCAATAGAGTACAAATGAAACATATATACCTCAGCATGCACATGAACAGAAAAAAGGAAGGATACGGATAATGCACAGGGTATCAATATTCTTTGGAAGCTGGTCCCAAAAAATACTTGGACCTTAAATTTTACCTTCCAAAGCCATTTCCTTTTCTATATGCATGGAAAGGGAGAAAATATAAATTCAATAGCAAAAGCCATCACGATCTTAAAAGACTTACGTTCCCAAAGATCCTACCAGATAGCATTATTGTGATGAGAAGTCAGTACCCAATATTATGTCTTTTGTCAATAACCTTTACAGACAGATAAAGGTCTATATCGCTGAAACACCAACTGCATGTTAGGTAAGCAGTATTAGAAAAGGACAATATAACAAACAAAATTTTAGCTTCTTTTTTTCTTTCTTGGTACAGTTTAGTATCAAATCCTCCTTACCAAACATGATACAAGCATATGCAGTGGAGTTAGCAAATTACAGAAAGGTTGTGAATGTGAAAAACAAAGAACAATCTCACTTGTGCCAAAGTAATTCGAATCAAAATGAAAATGAGGATTGAAGATGTATAAAAATTAGTAGTTTTATTAGACAGGATTTTACCATTTAATAGTTACTTTACTAGAAGTTGTGTTATATTTAAGCTCAAGACTTTATAAATAGGACCTAAGATTACATGCATGTTTGTCAAACTTGTAACTGGTCAAACTTTAATTTTAACTACAGAACCCACAACTTTTACCTACTTTTCAATCACACATTCATTGGAGACCACTGCTTATAAACAATTATAAGCTTTGGCAAACATGCACTACATTCGTTTGATGATAAAAAAAGATATTCTTACACCTAAATTTTCTTCCCATTTCTTCACTTTATCTTTCCTATTTCTATTTCTGTGTTAGGCTTCATAAAAAATAAAGCAAGCATGTCTAGTTATGGGCCAAAAAAAAAAAAAACCATTCAGCAAAGACATCAAAAGGCCTAATAAATAGAACTGTTAATAGCAATTCCAGAAATTTGTTAATCAAGTACGTCGTCCCACATCAAATAAGCTCATCCATAAAATACAAAAGAAGAAAATAATTTTGGAAACTAATTACTTGCCGACATGAAAATCAATTCTTGGAGTGGGAAACAAGACTTCTTCATTTCTATAAGATAACTCCTGCTTTCTTCAAAAGATCCAAGAAGAATTAAAGAAAGCTACACCGGAAATAAAGTAAAATATTTCAAGCGAGGGTGTTCACATAGGTTGAAAAGTTTAATCTATTATTGTAGATCTTATATCCATAAGACAGCACTTAACTGATGTATACTCAACATAGAACTTTCAACTTCAATTATGAGTATGAAAGCAAGCTTGTCCATGAAATTCAGTGATAAAGATAACACATATTCAACTGAATTCACTTTTAATGTTACCTTCAAGTGGGGTGGATATGTGGCTTGTTAGACGACCACTTTGTCCAGCCTCTTCTGAAAGCGCAGATACAGACTGGTTACTGTCCCCCTGCTTCGAATTACTTCCAACAAACTTGTCCTGTGGTTCAGGAACATCTGGGGATGGATCAGCGGGCAAGAAGCATATCTCACCCTGTGACATATCAGAATCACTAAACGCTGAGTCTTTTTCAACTCCCATAATATCAATTTCTTCATCTTCATCAACATCAGATTCTTTCACCTGAACAACACAAACCTGTTTAACACGGGCATCGAAAGGAAGAAAAGAAAGCAATTCCTCTTATAAATGTCCATCTGACCTTTTCAGTTTCTGGCATTAAATCAAATTCGTCCTCTCTTTCTACGTACTCCTCATTTTCCTCAAGCTCTTTGAAGTCTGGAGCAAATGCACTCCAATTCTCAGTATAGTCTTTGGCCCAGATATAAACCAAACCAGTCAAGGAGACAGAAACGACAATAGGGTGAACAGGATGCCATGCTAAATCTATTAGTGCCTCCTTTGGACCTTCAAGGATTTTTACAAGATGCCCAGCCTTGTCCCATATATATATCTTGTGCTCTCCCTTGCTGGCAGAGCCTCCAATAACCCACTCACCATCACCACTAAAACATGGTGCTTTCCAGTGTACTTTGGTGATGGAATCTTGAAACTCTCGAAACAGAGCTAGACACCTTGATCCAACAGCTTTCAACTTTTCAAACCCATCTTGTTCATCTCCTGCATGATTTGATTCTTCCAAGAATTTAAGTCCTCCTTTCAAAGGCAAAAGGTTTTCATAGATTCTAATTGTCCGATCATTCGAATTTGTTAGAAGATACTGTCCATTCCTGCTAAATACCATATTCTTTATCACAGCGTTCCCAGGAACAGGAACAATACCACAAATTAAGACGTTTTTATGATCTACAATAAGTAGCTCCCCTTTGGAATTCCCAACATAAACCAGATCGCCATACTTGTTAAAACATGCTGCAGTAGGACTAAAAGGGGCAGATCCATCTGAAAATCTATTACGTGAAGGAGGGACAACCCCATTTCCTGTATCAGATATTGACACAGGAAGTACTGTTGTGTTTCCTGTATTCATGTCAACAATCATGGGTGCTGATGAGAAGGGACAAGCTAAGCAAATAGATGGTGTAGAGGAACCAGGATGCAGACGAGCTTGCAATGGGGTTTGAGGCAAAGTTGTTCGAGCTATTCTCTCCTCTTTGACAACGTCCCAAAGGGTCAATGATTTATCCGCAGAAGAGACGAGTATGCGATGACCATATTTTGACCAACAAACACTTGTTATGGCAGCTACACAATCCTTGTCCCTGAGTTCTTTGGCAATGCCTCTGGTTTCAAAATCCCAAATAACACAGCTTCCATCAGAGCACCCAGCTGGAGGGAGAAAAAAATAAAAATAAAATTCCACATATTAAACTTAGCACATTGAATCAGGTGGCAGTATATAAATACGAACAGAATTAAGAAAAACAGAGAAAAGATATCTCGTTCTAGAAATGGCAATGCACTTATATGAAGGCTAAAGCTGTAACTTTTCCAGGAATCATGATAATAGAGCCTAGATCTAGTTTAGCATTTTGCTTCGAAGATACTTATCAACAAATTGCAACAAACTTCGAAGATACTTATCAAAAAATTGCAACAAATCGGTGCACCCTCTATATTTACACTAAGAGTTACAATCCAACAACTAAATGAGAACAAGAAGCCAAGTGTTAGCCCCCATAAACTTGGAACTGCGTAGACCCCTTTCTCCCCAAACTGTTTGATCCAAAGCAAAGCTGCATCTACTGAAAGTCCATTGAATTAAAATTCTCGCAACTACATCAAGCCATGTTATTTTTAGTAACTTCTCCATCTCCCAACAAGTTCTATTGATATCACCTTACGTGGATGGAAGTTTCTTTACATCATTGCTAAACATGCCTGATTAATCTACATCGTCCATTCATTATCTTATCCTCAATTTATCAACTCCACTTGTAGGCGTACATCATCGTGCCTTATTTTATCCCTTTTAGTATGGCCACACACCCCTCTTAAAAAATGCTCATTCTTAGATTTTCTCATTAACTGCCCAACACTTCCCATAAAATATAGTTAGTTCAATCACCATTTTGAAACTTAAGTTGGCAGGTACTTCCAATCATGGAATTCTTGAAGTATTTACTCCATCTTCGCCACTTGCCCTAATACCACAAATGAATAATAACATTTTCTTTAGTCATCTCTCTATGTTAATAATTAAACCTCTATGTCTACACAATCAAGATTTGGAATGACATGATCCTATATATTGTCATTTACTATGACTAAAAGAACATTGTATGTAGTGCATTCAATTCATTCACAAAAGATGCAGTCTTTGTCCACCAGTTGAATTCAATCTCTTTTTCCTGTTTTCTTATTTGTTTTCCCAGGTCTGCATCACCGAACATTATTATTTTCTATCCTTCAAATTATAGGAGATAACCTTATTTAGAATCTTGTTACAAGCGTAAGATGGCTAACAAGAAAAGCTAATAGGAAAACTGTGCTCAAGAAAACAGTAGACATCCTAAGCTTCTTACTTTTTTACTTTTAAACTAACCAATTTTCCAGGAAAATTACATTGTCACTTGATTTGTCCCACCACCTAATGATCCAATAATCAAGTTCCTTGACTTCACATCAAAGAACTAACCACACTATTTTATGAAAACTCATCATTGCCCCATTTGCTTTCCATATTATTCCTATTCAGGATATTCTGAGGAGGGCATCTAATCTTACTGTTATGGATATATACCAAAAGCCAATAGAAAAGGTGAGCTTCTTTATTCATAACAGAATTAGCCCAAACAATCTGTGCTGTGAAAAGAAACCCTGAAAGACATGCCAGTTTGATCCCTTTGCAGGGTTAAGAAATGCATTGAGTTACATCATCAAATGCTATCTCGGATGAGAGAAAGAGGGGGAAAAGATATTATAAGAGATGATAAAAAGAGGAAAAAAATGCAGATTATGTACATTATTGGTAAGATCTATTGCACGGACACTTCAAATATGGCGATGTGTCCGTGTCCATATCCGATAAGTATCAGATGCCGACACATCTCGAACACTATACCATGGACATTTTTCTTTTTTTTACCAGAAATATTATATATTTATATAAACTTATTATTAAATAACAAATACTTATTCATATTTAAAATATTTCAACAAGAAAAATTAATAACAAGTATAAAATTAAATTAATTTTATACTATATAAATGTTAAAGAATTTAATCAACATGTCGATGTGTCCACATATCTGATGCATATGTCGTCTGCGTCTGTGTATCATAGTGGGCAAGTTTAATGTAGTATTGCAACAAAAATGAATAGTGAGAAAAATATATTAGTTTCAGGCCGAAAAGGTAGAATGTGTTGTGAAAAAACAAATATAAGAGGAGCTTTAAAAATAATTGATGTCTCTGTAATACACTTATATCTCAGGGGTGTTCCCACAATTTGCTCAAAAGTCTGTACCCTTCCGTTTGTAACGAAATAACATCAAAATATATTTACCAATATATTATCGAAATTGAACAATTACTTGAAAAAATCTTTAAAATAATTCAGACCTACATGCAAAGTTGCCAATGAGAGAAACAGCAAAATAATTATACCAGCTAGAAGTGTTCCGCGGCGATTAAAGGCGATACATTTCATAACCCCATGCTCCAAATACTCCTCTATTACTTCCGGAAAATCCCCCTGTAGTGGGTCTGGGACAAAGAAAAATAATCACAAAAGTTGCAAATAATCGGGATAAAAAGGTAAACAACTGCGAAAGAATGTGCTTTTGTGCCCGGAAAAAAAAAATGAAAAAAAAGAAAAAAAACATAGAGAATTACCAATAATTGGGGCGTTCATGATTAGTTTTTTGTAAAAAAGCGCTCAGAGTTTTAGGGATTAAGGAGTTGAAACCATGGGGGAATCGCGCGGAGAGAAGCTGCTCTACGAGTTATTCACGAAAAGTTTCACCAAAAAATAGACAAAAATTTGAGAAATCAAATCAACCTCCAAAACGAACCCAAACTCAAATCTAAGCCCAATTGCAATCCAACCCAACCCAACCCAACCATCCAAAGTACAAATCATAAAAAATCCAAGTGGTAATTACATAAATACCCACAATATGGGACCATTTAGAAAAATCATGATAAAAGTTATTTTGAAGTAAAAAATATGATAATTTTTTTGTTTAGTGTTCAAGACCAACCAATATGGTTGGAATTTTGACAACTTTGGCTCAACAAACTATTCCAAATTTTTTAAGAACAGGTTTAGATGCGTTTATATTTTAAGTTTTACAAGTAAAATTTTAATTATTTTTATGGTAAATTAAATAAATTACTTATTTATAACTTTTGTTGTTGCAAGATTTCTTATTTACAACTATAACTTTACATTTAAAAAAGTAACAGATGCTCAACTAAGTGATAGGAAAAAAAAAGTGACACTCAAAAAAGACACAGGAATTCCAAAAAGTTACGTACTCTAAAAAAAAAAAAACAACACAAATTCAAAGCAAGTGACAATCACTAAAAAAAGTAACAAAAAGAAAGTGACAAATACTCAAAAAATGATAAAAATTCAAAAAAGTGACATACACTAAAAAAAATTGACCAAATTCAGTAAAAGTGATAGAAAAAAGTGGCAAATAATAAAAAAATGACAAACTTTTTTTAAAAAAAATGACAAATGCTAAAGTGACAAAAATTCCACTAAAAAAAGTTACAGAAGTTCAAAACAAGTGACAAAAAAATAAAAAGGTGATAAATACTAAAGATGTGATAGAAATTTTAAAAAAAAAATGTGATTGAGAAATTTAAAAATGTAACAAACATTCAAAAAAAAAAAATTACAAAAATTCAAAAAAGTGACGCTAAAAAAAGTGGTACAATTTCCCCAAAAAAAAAAAGTGATAGGAAATAAAAATAAAAAAAGAAAATGACAACCATTAAAAAAAGATAGAAAATTAAAAATTAAAAAAGCGAAAAACACTTGAAAAAGTGACATATAGTGTGGCTTTAAAAAAAAAAGGACTTATTTAAGGGTTATATTTCTTCACTCTTCGGGTGAGGTTTCTATTATCTTATCGAAATATTTACAACAAACTTTGAAATACATCTTTCGAATTTAAACTTAGCAAATGATTAGTTCATAATTACTGTTAGGCAATTTGTTGTCAAACGACCATCCGGATAATGATGTAACATCGGTTTTATTTATTATCAATCGGCCTTGACCATATGATTGAATTATATGTCGATACTATCATCGAGACAACTCAACTCACATCTCTGTGGACCGTTAGAAGCAATCTATTTTAATAGTGTTGCTCATGGTTCGTCCCATTTACTTGGAGGGTTATGGTATTCATTTGGAACTCATTACCTTATGTTGAGCCTTGTTTGGACCACTAAGTTAACCTAACCTAACTTACCATTTTTGGTCACTCATTTGGCTTATAACCTACGGCTCCTCTACGCCTCCACTATGAAGAACACTCCATCTCTTTCTGTGACTTTGATTCTCGGCCTTTTTCCTTCATATAACCCGTGTGGTTTTCTCTTGGGCTATACACTGTTCTTCATCTTGGCCGACTCTTTGTGAGTATATATAGCAACCGTATGTGGGAAGGAAGGAGGTGGAAGTTGGGTGTTGTCTCAATCGAGGTTGTGTCGATATAAGGTGGAAACTAAGCCCGGTATCACCTTAGTTATTGCTAGAGTTATACCTTACAACTGGTGTCAGAGCGTGGGCCATCTTCTCCGGCAAGAAATCGACCATAACCGGCGGCGGGTTCGCGATTTTCAAAAGGGCCCGAACCTGCAACTGCTTATTCCGACCAAACGCGACCTCCGTTGGACGAACGGAGGCCGGACCCATAACCAACAGATGGAGACACCTCCGGTGGTGCAGCGTGTGGAGGACCTCCTGCGTGGTTTTTTCATGCCATTTCAATTATTTTAATTTCCTGAACATACTAATGTGTTTGGTTTAGTGTTTTAGGTTGTGCAGAAAATTTTGGACGATTTTGCCCCGATTACAATCTGCATTTGTTGTTGAACGAACTATTATATTTACTAAACCTTTAGAGCGACTAGTGGTGGCCCTAAAGCAGCAAATTCACATCTCTCCACGTTACGGACTCAGATAGGTCCGCTCTGGTAAATTGGCTAAAACCTTTATATTTTTGCACTAGCAGATCATCGTGTGGGGTGATCATTAGGTTTGGGGGTTGCCATTGCTTGTGCTTGAATTAGGGTTACATGCTCTTGATTATTTGATTGAGTATTTGTCTTTTAGTTAAATCAGTATTTGAGCCTCAGTGACATAACTGTCGTGAAACTAATTATCTGTTAGACGTAGTTTTTTCTGTTGTATTGTTATTTCCGCTGCTTATCCATTCCATTAGAATTACCGTGATCTTACCCGTTTTCAGACATTCCCTTGATCTAAGACCCCGAGTCTTACGAAACCCTGGGAATCTTGAACGACGTATATTATCTGAAACCCTAAGACTACTTTGTGTGGTTTGATTGTGTTTTTTGTGCACTCTTTAACTATTGTGTAAAGATGACAACTCACAACTTTGATTTGGGGATTTTTAATGGAAAAGGGTGATTTTACTATTTGGCAACAAAAAATGAAGGGCATTTTAGTCCAACAAAAAGTTTCAAAGGTCATAGAAAGTAATTTTTCAACTGATTTTTCACAAGTAATAAAAAGAAGAAACCGATGAGCTTGCTTATACCTCAATCATTTTACACTTATCTGATGTTGTTTTAAGAAAGGTGGGTAAACTGAAAACCACTAAAGAACTTTGGAAAAAATTGGAAGTCTTAAATTTGCTTAAGTTTTCAGCGAATAAACTTTACTTGCTCGACCCTTTTTTCTGTTTTAAAATAGATCCTTCAAAGGATCTCGATGAAAATTTAGACGTATTTAATAAATTGGTGCAAGATATAGTTAATTGTGATGAGACTGTGTCCGAAACTTATAAGGCTATAATTTTGCTCAATACAATTCCTGATTCCTATAAGGAAGTTAAGAATGTCATTAAGTATAGTAGAGACATGTTAACACCTGAAATTCTCATAGACTCCCTTAGAAGTAAAGAAATGGAAATCAGGGCTGAAAAATACGATAAGAGGAACGGTGAGGTACATATGAGGTGGGATAGAACTCAATTTAGGCAAAATAATCATGATGGATATCAAACTAGTGGCGAGTCAAGTGGTAATGGATGGAAAAAGAAGAGCAACGGTAGGTTTTGATCAAAATCTAAGACTAAGGCAAGAAAATGCTATGATTGTGGAAACACGAGGCATTTTATAAAGGATTGTCATAAGGGGAAGGGTAAGCTAAAAGTTAAGAAGAGAGATGAGGTCAATATGTTAGCATCTATTTCTGATATAAATGGTGGTGAGGTCTATATTATTACAAGTCCCATTGCATCTATTGCTGAATTAAATCTAACTCCTAATTCCCGCATGCATGAGTGGATACTTGACTCTGGTGCATCTTTTTCATGTGACGTTTGAGAAGAATTGGTTTTATAAATTGCATGAATCTAATGTTGGGCATGTTGTGCCGTGTGATAACTTTGCCTATACTATTGTTGGAATTGGTGACATAAATGTGAAATTTGACATAGGTTTTGTGTACACGTTAAAGGATGTTAGATATATTCCTGAATTGTCTAGGAATCTGATTTTAGTAGGGAGACTTGAAAAGGATGACTTTACTGGTAAAATTGGAAATTGTATGCTAAAAATGATCAATGGTGCTTTAGCTTCCATTAAGGGAATTAAGAAAAACGATATATATATTACTATTGTGGAAGTTCTATCTCTTCTACCAAGATTGATCACACACGCACATGGCATAATAGACTTGCTCACGTAGGCATCAAGGGACTTAAGCTACTTAATGAAAAATGTGCTTTTGGTAATGACTGTGTGTCAGATTTGTCATTTTGTAATCATTGTATGTTTGGTAAGTATCATTAAACTTCTTTCTCCATGAGTGTTGATAGAGCTAAAGGCATGCTTGAATATGTGCACTCTGATATGTGAGGTCCTGCTAGTAATCCCACATAGGGTGAGAATAGGTATTTCCTGTCTATTATCGATGACTACACTAGGAAAGTGTGGGTCTATCTATTGAAAGATAAATTTGAGACCTTTAATAGTTTTAACAATTGGAAGAGACAAGTGGAAAACCAAACTGATAAGAAAATCAAATTTTTAAGAACAGATAACGGCCTAGAATTCTGTAATAAGGAATTTGATAGTATGTGTAAAGAAAGCGACGTAACTAGACATAAGACCGTTCCTTACACTCCTCAGCAAAACGGGGTAGCAAAAATGATGAATAGGACCATACTTGATAAAGTACGTTGCATGATGTTAAGTTCTGGTGTTCACAAGTCATTTTGGGGTGCAGCTGTTATGACTGCTTGTTATTTGATTAACTTGTATCCTTCTGCTGCATTGAATGGTGACACTTCGCATGAGAGATAGTTGGGTAAACTAAGTGATTACTCGGTGCTTAGAACTTTTGGCTGTACAACTTTTTCTCATCAAAGTGTGGGAAAGCTGGAACCTAGAGCTAGGAAGTGTGTCTTTCTAGTATACCCCAAGGGTGTTAAGGGTTATAGGTTATGGGATAGAAGCCAAAAAGGGGTTAAAATCATCATAAGTAGGGATGTCACGTTTAACGAGAATGAGATGCCGTGTATTAAAGGGGAAACTAAACCAGGTGAAGAAAGAGACCCGTTTAAGGTGGAGTTAGGAAAGCTCAGTACACCTGCCCCTATTGCTCCTAATGAGGTGGAGATTCAAGTTCAGGAACATGAGGTGGAGAATAGTAACGAAGTAGTGATAGAAGAGCACTATGATGAAGAAAATCTTTTAGCTAACTACAACTTAGTTAGGGATAGAAGAGGAGACAAACGAGAGAGCTTAGAAGGTTCGATTTTGAATCTGAATTAGCTTTTGCCTAGGC